CCCACCCTTAAATAAAATAAATGAACAAATTATGAAAGGTTACTTCCCATTTTCTATGTTGAATCAATAATAGTTTGAATCCTTTACTTTAGGAAACGGAGCAATGTCTTCAGCAACTTGACAATCTCCGTCTGGAGTTTGCAAAGAAAGCTGCTGTAAGTAAAATATTTTAGTTAGAGGTTTTTATTAGTGAAACTATATCTAATGTGTTTTTTGTTTGTTTTATACAGCCTTTCAACAACTGGCTTGAGAGTGCAAGAGAAGATCTCATGGACATGTTCATTGTTCACACAGTAGAAGAAATTCAGGTATAATTCTGGATGAAGCTCTTTGTTGCTTCCATAGATATACTTGCTCTCAGAATGGGGCTCTCATACATTGAGGACTTTTAAATGGCTGCATTGTTGATGTTCACAGGAACTGCTTGATGCCCATGAAGCTTTCAAGGCCAATATGCCTGCAGCTGAGAATGAGTATCAGGCAATCATAGAAATAGCTGAACAAATCAAACAGCTCAGCTCACAGGATAATCCTTACACTTCTCTGACAGGCGAGGTAAGGCTAGAGAATGGGTTTACCAAGGTGTAAGGAGGGAGGGAGGTGTGGAGGAAGGAAGGGGGGAGGGAGGAAGAAAGATAAAAAAAAGAAAGGAAGGAGGGAGGAAGAAAGATAAAAAAAAGAAAGGAAGGAGGGAAAGTAGTAAGCAAGGATTGATTGAATTTTGCATACAATGTATTTAATTTTGTTGTGATTACTAGAACGGCTATGGTATAGTTATTTATTTATTGTGTTTCAGGATATTAAAACAGCATGGAATGAAGTACTAAATCTTGTACCCCAGCGTGATGCTTCTTTGAGAGAAGAGAGATCAAAACAGGAGCGTATCCTTAACAAACTAAGTGTCTGTTGTTTTCTACCACTCCTGTTGACTTTATTGTTCATAATGACTATAAGGAGTATGGTGATAGTGTGGGTGGTGGTAGTGGTGGATGATGGCGATGGTAATGATGATGGTAATGATGATGGCAATGATGGTATTGGTGATGGTATTGGTGATGGTATTGGTGATGATGGTGATGGTATTATTGTTGGTGGGGATAGTAGGGATGGGGCAATAGGTTGATGATGGGGTAGTAATAGTGGCGATGGTGATGGTGATGTCTGTGATGGCAGGGGAAAGGGGTTAGCTGATAATGGTGGTGTTGGTGTTCATGGTCTTCTGATAATAACGATTCATATTTCCTTAACCAAGTCAAGGAAATGAAACCCTTCGTATTGACTTTGCCAAAAAAGCCAATGTGGTTGGACCTTGGATTCAGCAACAGGGAGAAAACCTCCGTTCAATTGGCTTCCACATGACAGGCACCCTAGAGGTAAAATAACATTTATCCTTCTGGTGATGCTCAACTAAATCAAAAAACAAATGAAACTTTAATTTATCGATCCCTAAAACTGGCCATAACTGGACAGAAGACACGGCAAGGCACGAGTAACTCAACGTTTAAAATATCTAAGTGGTTTCAACTTCCTGAAGTAGAGTTGAAGAGAAGCGACAGTAGATTCATAAGTGTCACAACTATTTTTTTCTAATCATTTAGTTTTCTATCTGTAGAAAAATCTCGGCCTCCTTCAAGAGCTAGAAACTCTTATCGCCAACTACAAGCCCAACATGGATGAACTTGAAGCAATCAACCAGGTGAGTTATCTCTAGTAGAAGGAGGAGAAAAATTTCCATATTTGTTTGGAAAAGCACAATTCCTTTTTATGTGATATCATTCTTGTGGTTAATAAATCTTACTAACATGTGTTTTTTTCCCTTGTTTGTTAGCAAGTACAACAAGCTCTTATCTTTGAAAACACCCATACCAAGTACACCATGGAGGTACATAAATATCTCATGTTAGTTTATAAAAGCCACACTGACAGGATTGGAAAGTGTTTTATCTTATTGGGTGTTTGTACGTATTGTGTTTTAGGCTCTCCGTATTGGCTGGGAACAACTTCTTACAGCCACGGCAAGAAACATAAATGAAGTAGAGAACCAGGTAGGAAGGGTAACAGATAGTGTAGAGATACCATCATCATACCATAATATCATCATCATCTTCTTGTCATCGTCAGTATCACCAAAGCCTTTGCTACTTTCATCTTCCTCATCATTACCACAACCATTATCATCAACACCATCATTGTCACCAGCATCCATGTCATCATCATATATGTTGTCATCACCAGCACCATCATTGTCACCATCATCACCATTACCTTCATCATCACCATTACCTTCATCATCACCATTACCTTCATCATCACCACCATCATCACCAACACCAACATCATTGTCATCATCATATGTAATCATCACCAGCACCATCATTGTCACCATTACCTTCATCATCACTACCAACACCACCAACATCCATGTCATCATCATATATGTCATGATCACCAGAACCATCATCAGTGACATAAGTGACCACCAGTATCATCACCATCATTATTACCATTGTTATAGTTGTCATCATCATCATCATTCATTCATTGATTCAATTGCCTTTGTCCTACTCATTAATGATTTCCTCGTGTTGTTGTTGTGCCACAGATTTTGACGCGAGACTCAAAGGGAATCACAGAAGAACAAATGAAAGAATTCCGTGCATCCTTCAACTTCTTCGACAAGGATGAAAATGGCAAACTGGAAAAACACGAATTCAAACAGTGTCTTGTTAGTTTAGGATACAACGTAAAGGAGGGCGAAAAGGTATGTCACCTGTTCAGCCATTTTACAGAGCATTAGGTTACTGCTCATCCAATCAGAATGCTTGTTTAAATGGTATGACCTACTAAATTAGCTCTAGGTTCATGCCGTACTGGCAAGGCTGACAGACCACCTTTGGCCAGTTGCACTCGTACAAGAATTTTTTTTACAGTCTTTCAACACAATTGTATTTTAAGCATTACTGATTATACCATGCCACAGGCAACCCAGTATTAAAAAGTATTGAATGTTATTTTAGGGCGACAAAGAGTTTGAGCGTCTGATGACCATTGTAGATCCTAATAATACAAAGAAGGTAACCTTCCAGGCGTTTGTAGACTTTATGACGAGAGAAACTGCCGACTCTGATACCGCAGAACAAGTCATGGAATCTTTCAGGATTCTCGCTGGAGACAAGGTACAACTCTTTTGTTTGATTGTGTTGTGTTGTGTTGTTATTCATTTTGTTTGAAGCTGCATAGAACAGATAGGTGCTGTGCTTTCAATAAGGAAACTATCTGGTTTCGTTGATGTAGTTGTAATTGTTGTTTTCCATACTCCTCCTATTGTCATTTCTGATGTCTTTCTAGCACTTGCTGTTGATGCTCTGTTAGTATACAGTTCATCTAACCCTTCAACTTAAATTTTCACAGGCTTACATCACTGCTGAGGAACTTCAACGCGAGTTACCACCCGACCAGGCTGAGTACTGTATTGCTCGCATGGCACCCTATGAGGGCAAGGATGCTGTCCCAGGAGCTTTAGATTACATGTCCTTCTCCACGGCACTTTATGGAGAGAGTGACCTTTAATGATACCAAATTACGACCCTTTCCCGTCTGCCTTAACTAGCCCCCTTAATTACCTAAAAATCTCAGACAGGTGACGTTGCTAGGAATCTAGATATTCATAAATTTTTTATATCTAATTCTGATAGTTTGGTAATGATAATAAAAAGTGCATAGGAGTACGCAAAAGATTTATTTGGCAGACTACTTAATCCTTGGTTTACAGTATTCCTTGATAAATCAATGATAAACGTTTGGCAGCTATGTTGGATGACGTCATCAAACATGGCTACCATGACGTCACATGCAAATCAAGAGATGAACTATAAAAATAATCAAACCTTTTAAAAAAACTTATTTTTGTCTTTCGTAGAAACGGATTCCCCTTCACAGAGATTTTAAAATATTTTTGCGAAATATGAAAACATCATTATCACGTTTTAGACAAATTGGATCTTTAGTTGTACACTTTTGAACTTGCCAAACTCTATTGTAGTCTTATAACAAACTACAACATATATATTATTTGAACTCCTTGTTAATCTGTATTACGGTCCACATTTCTCATCTGAATCCTGTTGCAGAAATAATCTTCTTGTCATTAGAAAACTACACTCAGATCTAGAATTGTGTAACATTCACTAAGTCGTAGGTTGTTCAATTTGGTCACGAAAGGATTGAAAAACCTGGTAAGAAATCTTGCAGTATTCGTTACAAAAACATCGCATTATTTTGTATCACAACTTAATAAATCTTTCGTTACTTGACCCTCGTAACCATAACTCATAAGTGTCTAGAGCCTAGAAGTGTGACAATACAAGGAAAAGTAATGGTAAAATGGAAGAATAGTTTGTAATTTAATAAAAGATAAAAACGCAGTTATTATTTTGTTCTAGTTTGAGAGTAATTAGTACTGGTGTATGTGTGAAGGTTGTCTCTGGACTGACTGATGGGGAAATCTCTTCTTCCCAATAAACATTTTATATCTAGTTTGGTTGTTCGTTATTTTCCTTTTTTTTCCTGTCTCTTCCTCTGCAGGGACTTATACACTACAACCACTTATGCTGTAGCTGTAGCTTTTTAGTTTTGGTTTTTAAAGCTACAATGAGGGGGTTGCCTAACCATCCAATCCATTAACCCCCCTCCCCATTTCAACGTATGCACCTTTGTTCCCCTACCGGGGATCAACCACGCCCATCACAACGGTAAAGCTCTCCTGGCAGGACATTTGTTTTTGTAACTGCTACGATAGCAGCTGAGTCTGAAACTTATCCACAGAAACATAGCTTCTAATAACGGGGAGGGGGGTGAGGAAACAAGGATCCCCTTTCCCAACCTCCAGAGAGGGTATTGTGACTGAAAGTCCGGTCTTGCGAGAACAACTTGGAAGCTGAAGTCCCTGCAAATTTTGAATAAACCGGTTTAAACTGGTGTTTAAGAACAAAAGATTGGCAAGAATAACTAGAAGAGGAGAGCTTATAAACTAGTTCCAAAAGTCATAGAAGTACACTGTAAATCCATCAAGAAAAACAAACTTGACGATCTTCAAAAAGAACTTGAAGAATTAAGAAAAAAGGTAAAAAAAAGTATGCCAGATTTTAAAACTGGAGAAACCGGTTTTTTCTATTTTGAAAGGTATTAGTATTCCTGGTACCTGTTTATTGCGTATCTCTCGAATCCATGTTGCTTTTCTTTCAGTGAATGATCACTCAACAATCTGTCAGGCAGGTACCGGTGGAGCTCAGTGATTTGCACCAACAGCGCGGCGTGTTCGAATGGAAATCAAAAAAATTCTTCACGCTTTGCTGATAGACACAAATTCACGTCATGTTGAAGGTTTATGATTCAAGTTAATGCTACACAGACTAAACTTCGACAAGCGGTGAAAAAGGTGTCAGATATAATTGTGTTTGGAATATGATTAATTGGTGTGAAGATTGGATTCACTTTATCATTGACCAATGCTAGAATTCGAAGTCTCTGGCTTATGAAGAAAAGGCTATCTAGATTTACGGGGTAGGTAAATAAACAATATTGAAATACCTAAGGTGAAAAAAAAAAGAGTATAAATGGATTAAATAATCGGGAATTGCCAAGAACGTTTTAAAATACTGACTATAGATATTGCTTTTATGACAATGAACATGGGCTGTGAAATTTCCGAAAATGAGCGATGAAAGAAAACCAAACTCTGACGTCTCTTTGTCCGAGAGTCTGGCGAAAAACCTGGTGTGTTTTGTAAATGAAAACCCACTGCGGTTAAGACAAAAATAACTCTTTTCTGGTCTAAGTAGATGAGACTGACGAACGACTGACGTTTGTTTTGAAAATAGAAAGTTGTTGAAATACACCGACATTGTTGAGATGACAAAACGATTGAACAAGAATCAATGAAGTTTCCATAACATGTTACACGCGGTGCAAGCTGGTTCTTCTTTCTTTGTATCCTGTAAACCAGATGTTCTATACAAACACATAGGATTCCTATGGTAATGGACGTCCGTTATTACTTCCATCTTTTCTCAGTATTCTTCTTTTCTTCGCTTTGTTTTTATTCCTATTCTATAAATATCGCATTATCTATAGCTCTACATTTTCCTCTTCTTTTATCAGGCTTTTCCTGTTTTCAATCATCGCGCAAGACATACCGCATTCCAAGCTCACAAGGCTTGTTTCAGTCACCGCAAATCAAAGCCATAACCGCTAAGCGCTCTAAAATATTTTCGATAAGATTAGAAACGAACGATTGTTCTCTGTCTTTGTTTCAGGTGTTTTCCTATTGGCTAGCGTGGTCATGTGATGAGGATAAGTGGTACATCACGTGATCACCATATCGCATGTTACCGCCCTGTTCGTGTAGTCTTCCTCCTCGTTCTATCAGTCTTGCTGTATTTTATATTCAAAGAATATCTCCACAACCACAAGGCCAACGTTACTAAACCTGTAGTGGACACTGCTGAATTAGGATGCTTTTATACCGTAACCCCCCCGGTGAATCCCATCGCATGGCAAGAGATTGTAATACTCATCATCCCTTCACCGGGGGGGCTATGCAAGAGCTACAATCAGCAGCGCAATATCACTGTAGGAGCATCAACATTTCGAGTACAAGCGTTTGGATCACAAGAGATGGTAATAGGACAAGCCGTTCACCTTGGCAACGACACATACCAAGCTAAATTAAGGGTTTCGTTCGAGGGTGACTACGTTGTCATGGTGATATTGACATTCACAGACAACGCCCACCTAGAATACCGTTTCCATAGTAACGCCATATTACAACACGTTTTTAATAGTCCTTTTGAAATGAGGGTCTCGGCGGGTCCGAGTCCCGCGGGATACACGCGTTACTGTACGCAAGAAGAGAGCGGGACAGCCCCCGGTAGATGGGTAGAGTGCGGCAAGCTTGCGGGTATAGAGGATTGTGGATCATGGCAGTTGAATAGTGTGTATGACTTTGATCAGATTCATGGTTTTCATTGGGTACCGTATTCTTGTCAACTGCATCAATACAGCAACGATGAGATTAAAAAGTGCTTTGCTCAGAATGGATGGAGTAGCATTGCCTTCACAGGTTAGTATATGATAGGATATGATAAGTGAGATAGCCTGCATGCACTATTGCCCGGTTTACTCTTCCATACTAAGGAATCGTGTGTTAACAGTTTGTTCACTACTGTACTTCAATGTTTCTTCAATTTCTCTGCGGGTGCTTTCCTCAACACTCCAAACTCCTACACTTTCAAATTCAAGAGAGATGAGGCGGTAACCCGTGTGGGATGAGCTCGGAAATCATATAAGAACATGTGTAATAGGTAAATTAAGAGCCAAATTCAAATTCAAGTAGAATTAAAGGGGTAGCTTTCACTAATGTATTTACCACTCCTGGGTGGACGGCGTAATGCCTAACAGGTTTTGAAACCCAATTGATAAGGCAGCCGATAGATCGAATTAGAATTTAGAAGTTGATTTCTGTGGAGGGAGAAAAAAATTAGACGCTAGGCTTCATGGGTTCTTCCTTGATATTGCTCGATCATTTCCACACTTACTATACTTGTATTATTTACACAGGAGACTCCCATATGCGTTATCGCACTTACCACTGGGTCACCAGACTCTACGGTGGATGCCGGGGGTGTATCAAGACCTACATCAAGATGGTATTCGACAAAATACCCCGTATGGAATGGATATTCGACGCACGTGGCACCAGATGGCCCATGACTTTTCCAGAAATTTCTTTCCCTAACGAAGTCTATGTACATCCCAAAACACGGCGGTCTATGTTCTCTAAGGAGCTTCCTTCCTCCGTCTTTGATGTTAACCTCTTTATTTTGAACTTCGGGCATTGGATTCTTCGGGAGAGTACTCAAGAGGAGTTTATGGAAGAGAAACTGCGCGCCTACGTTGAGGCGATACAAAAAATGAACGCCACGGGCGGACGAAAGAAATTCTTGTGGGTAAATACTGTTAGTCTTCCATGGCGAGACGACAAAGCTGTAGTGGAATGGATAGAGAATCCTTCACCATCGAGGGTAGCGCAGTGGAATAGACTCAGCGATTCTTTCATGCGCGCACATGGGATCCAGATTATAGACGCGTTTCAGATATCTAACAGTCGTATTGGAGCCACGCATGATCAAACGCATTACGCTAAGAGGTTGAAGAATGGAGACTGCGGTGGAGTCGTGGAAAATGCTATTAGTAATACTATTGCTAATGCTCTATGTAACTACGATATATGATAACCGTCTTTACGCTAGCAAGCCTCTCAGAGACAATTTTGTTATCACCGTAAAAAATCCTCGAAAATAAAAGCCTCGTGAATTAAAATTTTAACCGTAGCGCGCTGCGCAGGTATTTAACTGAATTATTTTATGCTAATATTTTTACACAAGTGAATATAATAAATCCGGCGCGCTTATTGGTCACAATTTACATCTTATGCTACTATATTGACCTACAGCTAAATATAAGGCGCGCACGCGCAGGCTCGTTTGTGGATTTGTGCCGCTTGCAGAGATTAAAAAATTTTGAAAAGACAAAAAAAAAAGTGTCTCCGTTAATTATCAAATTCACTTGTGTTAAAAATACTAAAACAATTATTCGCCTTAGGTTCAGTGAATATCGGGGAATATTTACCTTCTTAATTATTTGACGAAGCCAATTGTGAATACTGATGATGGAAGGATTTTTTACACGATTTCTATTAGTGCGCAAATTATAATAGCCGTGTTCTGATAAAGTTCGTTGCATGTTATACAAAACCAAGCGATTTTATGGAAAACTGATTTATAATAAAATACATTTGCATTTATACTTATATTTTATTGATGTCAAGTATTAAGTAATGGAATGGTTTTATTTGGTCGAACAAGAGTTTCGTGCGCAATTCAAAATCGATAAGTATACGGAAAATTAAAGAATTGATGAGTTATATGTGACCAATTTATGATCAATCTACGACAAGTACACGATCAATGTACGACGAATGTACGATCAATCTGCGACAAGTACACGATCAATGTACGACGAATTTACGATCAATATGCGAATCAGTAAACCAAAAATTGAGGAATCGGAATTGAAAACGTTATTTTTTAGATATAGAAAAACTACACAACAGCGGAAATATACAAAAGATATATTTTACGTCGCAAAAATAGAGCTCTAACCTTCAGAAAGAAGCCGTGGTATAATATTAAATATCAATCATTATCTATCAACTACACTACCATTTCTGTATCGTCCTGCGTCGTCCTCTCAATCTGCTCATAGCCAGCCTTCAAGAGATAACGGAAATTGGGATTATCCAACAGCCCAGCGTTCTTGAGATCCTCAGACTCCAGGAGAGATTCCATTGCTGGCATGAATTCCTGTAGGCTGAGACCTAGACAAAAGGACATAAAGGAAATGGTCAGGGATTACACGCCACTTTAGGGTATCCCGCGGGTTCATCTTTTGGTGATTGCCAAGGTCAAACAAGGATTTTGATAAACGTTGGGGAGATTAGTCAACAGACACCGAGGAATTAAAGGATGGGTACCAATGAAGATTACACACCACCCTAAGGTATCCAGCGGGTTGACCTTCTGATGATTGCCAAGGTCAACTGAGTCACCATCAATTCATGACAGACATTTTGGCAAGCGTTAAGGGGTGATGGACAATTTGATATATGAGGGGAGGGGTGGTGAACAGTTTTGATACATGGGAGGGGAAGGGTGGTGCACAGTTTTGATACATGTCAGGGGAGGGGTAGTGGCAATTTTGTTTAATGATGGACAGGTTTTTTCCCCTTCAAATTACCATTTTATCGCGTTGTTTAAACAACACTATCCGTCCCTCACCTTGACTGTAAGCTAGTTCAACAGTCTTGAAGAAAACCGTATGTCTGGCACTGGATAATGGATCGATATCTTTCAAAGCCAGCCAGCTAAAGCAGGGAAATAACAATAAACTTGTAAACAAAAATCTATAGAAATTTTATGGCAAGTGATTTACCATAAGCCGACTGCTTATGCTCTAGGGAAATCAAAGATAAAGTTGCCGATCCCAATTGGCTTGCAAGACACCTTTCGTAAGAGCCTTGCAATCGCTCACTCCCTAGAGCTTCGAGCAGTGATAGATTACATGTATGACTACATAATGATAATAATGAGAATGGCTCTTCTCCCACTGAATTTCAGTTGGAATATAGAAATTGATTAGAAATTGAGGGAGGAAAACCAGAGAAACCGGAGTAAAACTCCTTAAAACAGAGGAGAGAACCAACAAACAACGAGCAACGGCACCGAGTCCAGGAATAGAACCCGCACATAACTACTCACTCGTCTTTCAGTATTGCTCTGCACCATATGTATCGCTTAAGGGATTCGATATCGTCACATCCACTGTTTTCCTACAGAAAAATAACAAATAGTTTAAAAGCTTTAAAATAACTTCTTGTTGTTGTGAAAGATGAGATTGTGCACATGCTGTAGTTTGCTGGAAGAGTAGAATAAGGTGCGCACTCCTCCTGCCAACAAAAATATAGCACCATTTCTTGGAGAAAAGAAAAGAAAACGCGCACGCGTGCAGTGTGTAGTATAAAAGCACGCAGGTGTTAGCAAAACAGGACAGAAGTGTTAGGAGAAGCATAGACTTGCCCCACGTCGACCAAGTTAACTCTTGTCTTCCGAGGAGTTTTGGTTTAATGAAGCAAGAATGTGTCGAGAGAGGCGAGCGAGCGTCGAAGCACGACGCGTAGTGAAAAAACGTTTCGCCACTTCTCGAGTATTCTGTCAAACGTCGAGTGCAAGAAAAAAGCAAGTTTTCTATTCTTTTTTAAAATATAAACTAAAACAGCCATTATTTTTGATAAAAATGATGAAATAGAAAGTTCATAGCGTGCTGTATGCTCTCATAAAGCACACACCATTAGCCAATCAGAAGGCGATAGTATTTATGAAATTATAGTAACACAACTTTTTCTTACCGCATGACGCAACAAGTCTAATGCCTTTTTGAAGTCAAATTCGTTCGAGTGAGGATTTTTATCCCCAACGTAGAGCTGTAGAAAGAAAAAGTTAATATAGTAGTTAAAAATAGTGTTACTCCGCTAAAGTACGACCACCTGCACTAGTAAGAAATAGTGAATTTCAAGAGTGAGTGTTGTATGTTGTAAATATAGAATGTAGTGGTAGTGCGTGTGGAGGGAACCTCACGGAAGAGCCCCGTATGGGGAGTGGTGGTTGTAAAATATAAAAAAATATATAATATAATTACAGGCATCCCAGCCACTTTTTAGACAAATTTGATAGGAAATATAGGCTGTGCAAGTTCTAAATATAGGAAAATATAGGATTTTTTTCCAAAAATATATGCAATTTAATGTGGTTAAATTTAAGCAAAGTTAACTGGGAGTGGAGTGCTGGCCAGCGGTGTGAGACTTGCGCATGCGCAGTTGCTTCCTAAGGCCTCGTGGTTGCTGTAGCTGAGTTGCTGTTAGCCATTGCCTTCATATCGCGGTTTTGCCCCGCCCACCCTCCTCTGGTTGGACAAGGTAAGTAGTTTACTTCCACTGTGTAAGCAGTGTGACAGGTGCCGAGGTTGACCCGTGGCTTGGTTGCCATGGTTACCTCTTGCCAGCTAGTTGCCATCGCCTACCGCTTTGCCAGGCACCTACTCTCCATCGTAACGACAAGTTAATAGGAGCTAAGATAGCTTTTCGGTGGCGTAACCAGGGATCGGGAGGGTGCACAGGCAATAATTGGCAGAACTAAAAAGCCATAAAAAAAACAGAACCAAAAAAAAAAAAAGGGGCCATTTTATTTCCTTCGCCAAATATGCTAAACAGTGTAAAATATAAATGTATCAATCAGCAGTCGTCCTATTTATAGGAAATATAGGAGGTTTTCTTTAAATATAGGCTCTTTATAGGATCCTATACAAATTATAGGAATTATAGGAAATATAGGATATACAGGAGGTCTGGGATGCCTATAATTACGAGCGAACTAAATAACAGCACATTAAGCAACGTGTGGTTCTCTAGATAAGGGAGGAAAGCTTCCAGACATTTGATTGATTCTACCATCAAAAATATGTCATCTTTCAATATAATTTGTTAATAAATTTACGGCATACCTGTATTAAATCAGTCGGTGATAAAGGATTCATCGTGTCTGCAGTCATGTTGATATTCTGTAAAAAGATAAAGATATCGCTTTGTTAGGATAATATAGCTGAATCCAAAACCCCGAGTTTAAAGAGTTTAAACATGCCTGAATCGACCATAAATAGGTCACTTGAACCCACCCTCTTAGAATAAATCAGTTGAGTGAAAATGAATCCTACAAAATGAACCTCTAGCTTAGGGGGTCACGTGATCTGTAACATTTTGCATTTTGAGATAAGGACTCACATGTAAGACTTCCATGGGCAAGGCTTCTTGTTGCAAGATGATGTCATGTTCATTATTGATGACTAGGAAAGAAAAGGAAACAAAAACTCGTGTAACGACCTTGTTGGATGTGATTCCTGTGGCGTCATTTGCGCATGCGCATCACAAGGTTTTGTTCCAATCATTTTCTAACTTAATAATTTGACCCATGTGATGTTCTGGCTTCCATGCATCTCAAGCTAAAAACAATCTAAGTTAATCTTTCAATACACCAAGAAAATCCCCAGTTGAGATACAGAACTGACTCTGACACTTGTACCCCTGCAGTCCTTGTGTACTGCTAGCGCTATAGAGGTTTTGCACCATCACGTGCACACGCCCATAATACAGCTTGGGCTGCCTGTGGTTAGATGGCAGAACAATAAAATCCCTTTGCTCTTGGGAATTAAATTCTTTCTCATGTAAAACGATTGTATTGTTCCTGCCATCTAACATGGCTGCCGTCAATTGATGGTGCAAAACCTATATTAGTATTACTTACTTTCTATTTGATCAGTAACGTCTTGATTGATGTCAACATCGTCTGCTGCCTGCAGTGCCAGTTTACTCAAACTGAGTAGAGTCTGAAAGACAAGAGAAATGTGTCTTACAGTGTCTCAATAGCAAGCGCGGAATCGTCGTCGCGACAAAGTAGGCTTTGGTGGACGTCAATCAAGGCGTTTCCATGACATTCCATAGTCACGTGCCCTTGAAAACTTTGTACTTTCCGAAACGCTACCTACCAAAAGCTTATTTTGTCGCGACTCGTGCATGTGTTTGGGAAGCACCATAATTCTATCTGGATATCTATCGTCATGATAATCATTGAATACCTTTTTACGAGTTAAGAAAGTCTGTTCATTATCAGCCAGATTCTTCAAAGTTTCATAAGCCTGAAAAAATTTTAAAAAAACTCAGCAGACAAATCACAAACACACACACACTTGACAAGAAATAACGTTAAGTGAAACCCAGCAATTAGGTCTTGATATCATGCGAATTGCTTACTATCAATCAAATACTGACTTTTTGGAGTTGACTGGGGGGCAAACAAGCGGTTGGCTGAGGGGCAACTAGCGGATGTTAAGTCAAAACATGTCAAAATAAGTCCTAAAAGTATTGTATTCGATTATTTCTACGACATGAAACCAGAAAATGAGAGATCAAAACAACCTCCAGATTCTATAAGCCATCAAAAAAGAGCTATTACCGGAAGTGACGTCTATTGATAGCAACCTATTGATGGATTTCTCATGCAGAATGTTCATCAGCTGAATCGCAAGTTTTCAAGAGGATTCTTTCTGGCTTTCATCAGCATTGAAATCTAGCAATTGTGAAAGACCCATGGATTTCCATGCAGACCGCCTTGACTTTTAAAGCACAAAAACTAATTTTTCTAACTAATAAGGAACCATAAATTAAAAATCCCTTTTTACTTTGTGGAAGGACTTGGTGTGGATATCATGCAGCCAACTGAGATGATGATGAGATGACAGAAACTTTCCAAGGTTCTCGTGCTGAGGAGCTGGTTGGTTCATTAGTTTATGTCGATCACCTTAAACAACAACAATAAGAAGTTCAAAAGCCTTTCTTACAACAAGAATCCAATATTTCATTATAAAGATATCTGGTTAAAGTTAAGTTAAAAGGCCTCCCACTCAGCTGGTGTCCCTCTTAAAAAACACAGTGCACTCTTTAGGAAAGACAGCAGAGAAGCCATCAGGTTAAGTCACTTTTATCTCGTTTTCAAATTTGCGAAGGCAGGTATTTCTCCTTAGTCTGTACCGCTGCCTTACCAAATCCTTTAGTCATTATTTATAAGGCACGGAAGGATCATGCCTACACAATCCTCCCATCTGGCTGAATAGCCAAGAGAGATTATGATATAGTGTCAAGATGTTATAGTGGCTTGTGTTTAATTGTCTCACCTTTGTCCATGTACCATTTAAACAGGTAATCTGGAAATCCCTGTCAACAAACTATACATTAGTTTCGACTATTGTCATCAGGTATCATCATCAGGTATCATCATCACCACCAGCACCATCATCATCATCATCATGTATCACTGCATCATGTATTATCATCATCATGATGTATCATCATCCTCATCATCATGCATCATCATCATAATGTATCATCATCACCACCACCAACACAATTTTCAATGTCATCACTATCATCATTATCATCATCCACCGTCAACTTCTTCATCACCATCATCATTTAACACCAATACCTGATCTTTAAACTGTGTAGAGTAATACTGTAATGAGTCCTTGTCATCTCTAGCCTCACACAACTCTATCAGGATCCCAAAGTCTTGGTACTTCTCGGCCAAGGATGTTGCTTGGCTGTACTGATGCAACTGGACTGTAAGAAGCAAACAGAATGGATCAGTATAGAAAAGAACCAATAACAGTAGCGAACCCAAGGTGATTTACAATTACGATTACAATACAATGTTTATAAAGCACCTATCCAGAAGCTGCTCTAGGCACTGAATATTTCAAGTGGGCTGGCTAGAAAGCCAGTATACAGCTTCCTCTTATGGCTAGCGACCACAACAACTCCCTTATCCACCCTTGAATAAACATGAAGACTGTTCCATTCATCATCATGGGTGTCTGACATACATACCAAGTGGTAATATTGCTGTTCTTCGGTCTTGCTCGTACTTTTGATTGACTTCATCGTAGCGGTCCTGCTTGCTGGCATCGTGTCTAGAGAAGAAGTTATTGTGCAGTCACATTTCTTGATGAGTATCAGAGACCACAGGGCAGAGTTTGATATAAGGTGTAGTGGTGGTGAATGAGCGCTTAGGTCACACAATAGACTTCTTTACCTTAAGCATAATGTTTTCCCATTTTAGACCACGTGTCATTCTCTTGAGGATAAGATTTTTTGATTGCGTCGTACCCATATTCATGTGTCTTTTCATGCACAACCATTAAACAAATAAATGATACTCTAGGAAATGGCTTGTATGTACAAAGTAATCTGTAGTGTCTGAGCCGGCTTACCTCAAGGATTCAAGCTGAACAACGTATCCATCCAGTAAGATATCAGCCAGGCTGACCAGATGCTGGTAGAGCATGGACCGCATCTGATAGTTACAGAATTACGTAATGATCATGATGAGTATAGCAGTGACCTTCAGGTGTGACAAGATTTTGCTTGGTGATACATACCCCCCCTCCCCCCATGAGGACAACATTTATTCCAAGTTTCTGTTTCATGGTCAAGATGGTCATGATGATAAGGCCAAATAAAAAGATAAGTGTGTTTCCTGTTGCATGAGAAAAATAATTGGGGTCGGTAGGTCGGATTTTTTTTACTGATACAACAGTGGAAATGAGCTTACTGGGAACCCTGTGGTGCATTTGGGAATGAAAAAAATATTAGAGTCGGCAAAAATATGCAAGAAAATTAGGGTGGGAATCACACTTATTTTTTGTTTGGCCTAACAATAATGTAGTTCATAATCATAATGATACATACTGAAATAGCTATATTATTAAATTTGTACCTTCTGGTCTTCAGTGCCATTAATGCCTCTTTCCACAGTAATCTGAATCTAAAATAATGATCAAACGACAATTTCAGACTTCTAAAGATCACAGGTTAAAATTCCATACACACTTGTAGACAAAAATTGATCTAGAATGTGTGCCGATCGCAAAATTACAATAAAAAAATCCTTATAATCCTTGTAATACCCTTGAGGTAGCTTTTAGTTGTTCATGGGACAATATTTTTTTAAATTTCAAAATTTTAAAACACTGCTACAGTAATTGGTTCAGTATTGTCCCCTTTGTCCAAGTGGGAAACAAAACTTTAATTCTGGCAACAAATACACAAAACAGTACCTGGTTTAGAAGAATATTCCTCATTCCTGAGGGTCCAGAAGTACCTACACCAGGAAAGAAGGGTAAAAATTCAGGTCATGGCAAACTAACTGATCTATAAGTATCCTGGTGTTTTTTGTTTACCACAAATGTAAATTTTGTCACTTTTTATTGGTCTAGCGCCGTGGTAAATAGGAGAACATACCAACAAGTTACATCAACAAATAATGAATCACTTGCGCATGGAGCCAGCCTGCGCTTTTTCTTCAAACTTTTTCCATGTTTTTGTTACAGTAGTAAAAAACAAATTTCAGATAGTTTAGCATGGAATGTTCTCTCGCCCACCACAATCAATGTCAACAGTTGATTAAATTAGTAATGTACCCACTTGGCCAAACATCTTGCGTACATGACATTTTGGCCAACTGTTGATGTCATAAATGTCGTAATGAGAGAACATACGAAGTTAAATCATCAGAAATGTGTTGAATTGTTTGCTTGGAAATATGCTAATTAAAAATTATTACAGTTACCTGTCCAAAATATCAGTTCTGGGTTCTGATCGCCCTCGTTAGGAATAACCTGATATAGACTACTGTTCTCTTGCCTATATGACCATGCTTCCTGGAGCATTTCCTGGAAACAAAATAATAATTTCAGCAGCTGACAAATGAAATAAAACACTGATAAAAAAGGGTTTTCTATAAACAGCAAACAAAATTTCTATTATTTTACTCATAATATTTATCTTTTAAATTTGTCTAAATACCATATAATTTAAGATAGAAAAAAAGCATTGCTCCTTAGAAAAAAAAACTCACAAAAGGGGGTGGGCGTGGTCAAATAAGCCCCCCTTTTTTACCCCCAAACTAAAGAGATCTATTACACACACCTGCATCAAAGTATTAATTCCAGCAATGGTTTCAACATGGGTACCATGGGTGGAAGGTGTTTTCAATATCTCCTCCTCATACTCAAGAAAGCCTTCAAATATATCAGCAATAAAGGACACTTCTCTGAAGAACAGGTCTTGATCAGTCAATCCCTTGTATGGTGCAGTAGAACCCCTCTTTTTGACCACTACACTAATAACCATATCAACTATCTTTTGATACCTGTCAATAATAACCAAAAATTAGTTTTCCATCTTCAATTAAAATATCCTTTACTTTTCCATCTATTCATGCTTTCCAAGCACTGCCAATAGTCAAAGGCTAGGCAGCCATGTTGGGGGTATGAACAATGGAAGCTTATGAGAAAGCTTTTGATAAACACCATCAACATGTCTGAATTGAGACAATCTATGCCATAAAAAATGAAGAACCCAGAGACCTAACAAACTCTACTCACACATATGTCAAAGTCCAAGAATTAAACCTGAGACCCCAGAGGTGAAAGTAAAAGTAAAGCACCTATATTCAATGTCGGTAGTTCCTTCAGTTGAAATTCAACTGCTATCAATGGAAGCCGACGGTGCACACTTTACCCCCTCTCTCCATCAATGCTCTCTTTTAAGAGTATTTAAAGCTGAAGCTACATGGATTAGAGAGAAGTAGAAACAGATGTGGAGATCCTAAGGATTGACTAACCAACTGAGCTACGCCTGCTCCTCAAGGTAAGTGTACTACATGTACCACTACACCACTATTGCTTCCAATTAAACATCTTGTCTAAATAAGCAGTTGCTGTATGCACTGTAATTCATCATACTATATCCACTTACATCTTGTGACACCTGCATAATGCAATAGCGGCATTTAACTTCTCTGCATGTTCGCAAAGCAAACACCAGGTTGGAAAAGATTGGTCTCTCACTTTAAATGTCTTCAGCTTAAAGAAAAAACATTTAAAGTCATTCTTTAAATATAATCGAAGGATCAAAATAACTATCTTTACCAAGGGCTATATTACACAAGATTCAGTAGCACAATATTCTCCAGTACTTGTCTTCTTAGTAGAAAGCAGAAATAAATTAGTGTTGAAAGAGAAAAAAGGTTTTTTATGGTCCAGACCATGTGCAAAAAGTATATCATATTTTTGAAGTTTACAAATCAATAAACTTTCAAGAATGTGTACAGTAAAGTCCCATTATATCTAACCAAAGATATCTCAAACTTAAAGCTGAATCATGTGGCCTTGCACACTACGATTTTACCCTGGATATTTCAAACTTTCATTGTTTCTAACCTTTCCTCCGGTCCCAGGAGGTTCCTGATGCAACAGGACTCCCTGTGGCTTGTCTTAGTGAAACCAAAACAATTATTTTTGTGAATCTGATATGTGGTTCTCATTAACAAACCCCCCATAAAAAGATTAGGTTTAATGCAAAATTTGTTTAAGATATGGAGACTCACCCTATCCCATAATCCAACACCTTTTAAGAAGTTCACAAGGAATCCATGAGCTTTGAGTTTGTCCTCTAGTTGATGTAAGATGATCAGTGATGATGATGTCGAAACACTTCCTGATTAATGAATTGACAGAGAGTGTTGTTACATGGATATTATATACTCTGTTTGACATAGGTTGTTAATAGGGTGTTGGTAGGTTATCACTAGGCTGTCAGTAGGGTGTCAGTAGGGTGTTGGTGGGTTGTCAGTAGGGTGTTGGTAGGTTATCACTAGGCAGTCAGTAGGGTGTTGGTGGGTTGTCAGTAGGGTGTTGGTGGGTTGTCAGTAGGGTGTTGGTAGGTTGTCAGTAGGGTGTCAGTAGGGTGCTGGTAGGTTATCACTAGGCTGTCAGTAGGGTGTTGGTAGGGAGTCAGTAGGGTGTTGGTAGGGAGTCAGTAGGGTGTTGGTAGGGAGTCAGTAGGGTGTCAGTAGGGTGTAGGTAGGGAGTCAGTATGGTGTCAGTAGGGTGTTGGTGTGATGGCTGTTAGTATGCCTAACAAAGGTATACACAGTATTGATAACTGCTAACCTGCTGGGATGGATTCTGCCCATCTAGGATCAGATGCAGGGTAATCATTGATCAGTTCTTCACTCAGGGCTGCTACAGCACTATCTAATCCACTGGAATCTGGTGTGAATAGCTGATCACATATGTTCTGTGCATCATTCTGGTGGAGGAATACATAATATTATTACCATCTTACACTTATATCCCAGCCATACAAACGTCTGTCAATTAGTCAATTTTTAACTTAAGTTTTTCTCAGGCAATATAACACTTGACATAATGATAATGAATTTTCGTAGGGCTACTAAAGTAAATGTGCTCTTCTCAGTGCTGGTAAAGGTTTTTAAACACATTGTGGCAGCCATTTTGGAAAATGATCTATTAACATCATCAAAATCATCATTGACAGCATTTATCATCCATCTATACTCATCATACACATCATCATCATGCCTCCCTTGGTTTAAGTTCAAGACAAGAGCGTGCTTACGATATTTTGCTGGCAGAACTGAAGGAATGCAGCTTTGAATTGAGTTAACTGGTCTGTTGTAGAATCCCCATCTGTGAAGTCTTGTGAAAAGGAAACATCAGGAACTATACTTTGGGATGCCTGCGGCTGCAGCAATAAGACAAAAATTAATTGACAATGAGTCGAAAACCAAATGAAATCAATATTTTAAAAACTAGTCTTTGCATGTTGCAAGTGCAAATATGCTTAATGCATTCTGAAGTTTATCATCAGTATATCATGTTTCTGAACTAGAAATATATTTGCACATTTACTATTCTAAAGTGACTGATATTTACCTACCCACCCAACTACCTAACAGCAGATTCAAAAAACAAAACACAAATCTCAAAAAAGAAAACAGATTTCAAAAAGCTTAATCAAGTAGTAACAATCTGACAGCACAGACAGCACTGATGAAAATCTGAAAGCTCTGACAAAACTCCGAAAATGCTGTCAGAAACCTGAAATTGATAACAAAAATTTGAAAACTGCTGACAAAAATCTTAATATAAATTTTTTTTCTGCAAATGACATGGGAGTTTTCTAAAAATAAGACCTTACCTCCTGTATTCTGGACCTTGAAAAAGATAGATCTGTTTGTTGCCTGAAAAACAAAAGCTTAAGTTAGAAGAGAGGTAGAAAGCCATTGTGTTATAATAATAATAATCTATTTATACTCAGATTTGAGAAGGGCAGAGACTGCTAATATGTCTGAGTTCACTCACACACACTACCACAACATTCAAATATTTATTAAAAATTACATTTATTTAAAATGTGTGTGTAGAAAAGAACAGGTGTTTGGCATGCTGTCTGTAGATGGCATGGACGTGGTAGGGGTAGTGGTTGTGACGGGTATGAAAGTCGTTGGTATGATATGTGAGCAGTGGTATAGGTACAAGTGTTTGGTAAATGTCAGTAGATGGCATGGATGTGGTAGTGGTAGTGGTTGTGATGGGTTGGAAAGTTGTTTGTATGATATGTGAGCAACAGTATAGGTACAAGTGTTTGGTAAATGTCAGTCAGGCCAATATGAGAATTGAAGTAACACCTTAAGGCATCTTCAGTGACTGTGACGCTCAAAATCCCATGCTTCCTGGAAAAGAACAATGCTTTGTCCTTCATGACACCTGAAAATAATATAAGCATATTGTAAAATTAGGAGAACAAAACTAAAATTTTTATTCTTTGCCTTTGAACCAAGCGTCACACATATAGCATTAAGAGCATTTCAGGGCTTTAAAAAAAATAGCCCTTCATCAGACAATGTCCAGCCATAATAGACCCTCTATAAGTTCCAAATTACCGCTGTGTTCCTTGATTACAGACTCATTTACACAGGCTTAGCCTTGTATCAATGTCTAAATATTCATAAATACCAACGATAAAGTAAAGAAGCACAACTTCAACAATACGAACGCTTTGAAACTTGACGGGCTTTGACTGGAACACATGAATATTTTTCACAAAATCGTAATTTGGAACTCAAAAATGGTCTATTGGAACTTGTCCAGTTAAATCTTTGCTTTGCTGGTCATTTTGACCAATAAAGTTGGGCCAGAAATGAATTATGACGGAGCTAAGACTATTTTGGCCACTGATTATTGTAATAATGACCAGTAACTGACCAGCCTTTATTTTAAGCCTTTCATTTTGAACCCTTGATATCTCAAACTTAAACTTTTAATTAACTTTCAGTTAATATGTCAACATAATCAGGGAAGAGGATTATTTTGAATAAACAATACGTACCAGCACCCAGAATACCATCACCAGGAGAATTGAAATCAATCTTGTTGACAATGTCATCTGTTCTGTAGGCTGAAATCACAAGCAGTAATATATGTTAGTACAGACAGGTTTGTGGAAGCCAGACAATGGCTTTATTGGCTTCATAGCTCAGTTGGTAGAGCATCGCACCGACATCGCGGAGGTCATGGGTTTGATTCCCGTTGAAGCCTGAAATCATTTTTTCAGGTCTTTCTTTACAGCGTTTGCCTAGATCGCTTATTTACTGTGATGATCAACACTCTAACATAATGCAATATGATCAGCCTTCCATATGTATGCATAAGGAGAAAAGAGAAAAGAATAAATTTAATTTCACACGTAGCCTCATACCAAAACCTTTGTGTGTGACAGCAAAGCATATCTCAGAAGTGGACTATTGCATTGCATACCTGGGACACAAATGATAGACTGAGCACTGTAAATATAAGCATTACTGCTGTGTTGTGGAAGCAGCATCTTGTAACTCAACAGCTGATCTTCATGAGAAGGCTAAACAAGAAACAAGATTAAAAGGAAGATAAGACAAATTTTGTGCATAATATGTACTGCGATATAAATACTCAGGAAGATGTAGACCACTCAAAAAGCAAGAGAAGCACTCCTAATCTTGCTTCTTTCATGCTCTACAGCTCCCAGCATGTTTATATCACAGTACAGAGACATGTGCATGTCTTATATTCCTTAAAATATGTTATCACTTACTGAATACTCTTCGGCAAATTGAATAATGTTGACACTGCCTAGGGACTGTGGAGCTTCTGATAAGTTATTGTCTAGTGTTCCTATTAATCATAAAATATACATAAGAACATGGCAGCTTTTAATTTACTAAGATTTACCCATACAATATTTAACTAAGGCATTGTTTGTATTGTGGAAGAGTAGGGTAAAGGTGTGATTACGCAGAGCAATTTCTCTGCAACATGTTTTGCAAGTTGCGACACAAGTTGCATGGAGTATGCATAACCTACAGCGCAATTTGAAAAAATGTCGTGAGACAAGTTGCAGCAATTTTTAAAAACAGGAGAATTTGTTTGTACGTTTGGCAATGATTGCATCTCTTTCGCACCGATAGTGTAAACATTCCAACAACTTGTGTTGCAATGCTGTTGTTAGACAAGTTGTAGAGGAGATTGCTCTATGTTATTGCCCCTTAAAGCAAGAGAACCTGCCTCATTCTACTTACCAAACATGTAAAACAAACTAGTTTTTACTTGACCCTTGAGAGCAACAGCAGCAAGTATGTCAATGCCTTCGCTGAAGAATAAATAACAGGTGAAATAAAGCTAAAAAGATTATAATGACAAAACCAACACATTTCTCTGCTGGTTGTTCCAATTCAATCATGGAACATGACCCACAGGTTCATTAGCCACTGGCTATTAAGTGTTACCCTCATAAAAACAAGGGCTGTTTTTTTTTGTTTTGAGAAATATGCATAAGAAAAGAACTGTTGTAATAGGCATTTAGAAGTCAAAAGAAGCCACTTTACCCGGTATTACAAACATCAAGACACCAGACTGTTAGCTGGTCAATGGTTTCCAAGGAAACCTATAAGAAAAGAAATATCATTTACTTAATATTTATTTATTGATTATTTAATTGTCCCCAATTAGAGCGAATGCAGTAAAACCAAAAAAATAAAAAATAAAAACAAAGTTGAAGCTGACAAATAGTATAGCTATCTAGTGACTAATGGTTTGTATCACTCAACCAGAACAGTTTTACACAAAAGACACAAATGGTCTATTGTGTATTTGTTTTCGTATGATGAATGTTCTGGTTGAGTGATAGCAACTATTACTCACTAAATAGCTACTATTTGTTAATATCAACTTTGTTTTTATCTCATTTTTTTACTGCATGCTCTCTAGTAGGCTACATGTTACCAGCTAGTAGTTTGATACTGAATTTGATTTTTGATTTATTGATATCATTAATCATCTTGCCTTTAAGCCATCTACAGTAGGGCACAGCTAACTCATAGATTGAATAGATACAAACATAACAGTCAAGCTGACTGAGAATGTAACAAAAACCTCTGGCACTCGTAATACAGTAGCTGCCATCTTGATTGAATTGTTTGGGCTTTCAATGCTAGATTGAATTGTAAATCAGAAGTTATTGCTTTTACAGTGAAGAAAACTGGAGTACCCAGAGACCAGAAAATAAACAAGCGACTCAACAAGTTCAAATATGGCGGTGGGTTCAGGGATCAAACCAATGACGACAGCAGTAAGAGAGGATGCATTAACAGAAACTGGTTAAATAATCTATTCAATTATTGATTATTAATTTGCCTTTTTATCATTACTGATAAAATAATCTAACACATGTTTCACTTTTGATAAGACAATAATTAATACTTACATGCAGACCTTGAGATGCAGCTTTGGTAAACATGGCCTCACAATCACACTGGTATACAAGCTACAAAGAAACAAGTGTGAATATATAAATTATAGTAGCTATTACAGTTGACGTAAAATTTTAACTAAACTGAAGGATGTGTGTGACGTTGAAATGATTCATATACATGTACAATGAAGCAAGTCGGTTATGAAATACAAACCTTTTCTTGGATCGTATTCGATGATGTCAACTGTATTTCCCACTTAGCTAGCTGATTACTACTTAAAACATACAACATCCTAAAGGAAAATGAGAAATGAAAAATGGAAAATGGGAAAAGGAATGAGAGAAAGGGAAAACAAATGAATGTTACGCATCATGACATCAAGTCCCTATTTATAGTATAGCTGTATTAATAAGAAAAAATAATACATAATATGAAACAAACCTTGAGTTATCTCTGGTGAAGTCACTAACCAGAACTTTATGCACTGTCTAAAAAATGGAAAAAAATACAGGTTAATGTCTGGTAATAATTTTGGAAACTCTGTTAAAACTCAGTTGCAGGGTTAGCAAAACTTTGCAACTTGTGCAATAAATGCTCTTTCTTTTAATCCTGGAAAATTACAAAATAAAATTGAAATGGATTGGTTGTGACTGAAATGGATTGCAAGTGACTGGGCTTCAGTCAGTGACTAGATCTTGAATCTCCCAAAAAAAAATTTTTTTTTGAATTTTTACCTTTTGAAAGGCCATAGATAATCTTTATGTTTAGTAAAAACATGCCCAACTTCTAAAACTTGTTTTCCTCTTGTAAAAGCCCGAATTTTGAGTGTTTTTTCATTTTGGAAA